AATTGAACTCCTTTTCAGTGTTAAATATTATGTGTTCTTGTTCAAATTAAATCATACTAGGTGTAAATTGTACTTCTCAGTAGTTTGAAAGGATAAAATATTTTTAGATAAACACCGTTTTGGTGTTTGCTGTATATAACATTTTCAAACATAATTCATGGTGTTTATATTAACACCACTTGGTGTTGGATTTAGACACCATTTTTAGATTACCCTTTACACCACAGATATTTTAAACAGTGTAATATCGTCCCCTTGATTCTACAATTAGATATCTGGAAAAACACATTTATACCTACATAAAAGTATTCTAAAATTGGTACCTATGCAAGCATTTAGGAGAACTGGATTTGTAAATTTTCTAGTTATCCAGTTGTAGCATTATTTATGAGAATTATTTATTTGTTAATTATTATTTTTTTATTAAAAGAATGCATGCTGTGATATTATATTAATTTTGTATAAAATGTGCATAAATACCTACCTTAAAACACACACAAAAAGCCCAGCACAATGTAAATACCACAACCACATGGAACAAAATGTCCTCGGAAATGTCTATTTCTTTCAAATTATTAAATTTCAAATAGGTAGTGTACAATTCAGTGTTGCCAACAGTCTATTGTGAAAAGTCTCAACCAAGCTCTTCAAAAGTCGCCAGAAATCGCTAAATTATTTGGCACTTAAAAATCGCCAGATGTTACGAAGGCGTAGAAGGGACACAGCACAAAAAAAATAATTAATTTTAAAATTTCGAGTTATAAGTCGAAATTTTACCCTAAAATTTCGAGTTATAACACGAAATTTTAAAATTTCGAGTTATAACTCGAAAATTTACCCTAAAATTTCGACTTATAACACGAAATTTTAAAATTTCGAGTTATAACTCGAAATTTTAGGTTAAAATTTCGACTTGTATCTGTATTTTAAAATTTCGAGATATAACTCGAAATTTTAAAATTTCGAGATACAAGTCGAAATTGTAACCTAAAATTTCGAGTTATAACTCGAAATTTTAAAATTTCGTAATATAACTCGAAATTTTAAAATTTCGAGATACAAGTCGAAATTGTAACCTAAAATTTCGAGTTATAACTCGAAATTTTAAAATTTCGTGTTATAAGTCGAAATTTTAGGGTAAATTTTCAAGTTATAACTCGAAATTTTAAAATTTCGTGTTATAACTCGAAACTTTAGGGTAAAATTTCGACTTTTAACTCGAAATTTTAAAATTAATTATTTTTTTTTGTGCTGTGTCCCTTCTACGCCTTCGTAAGATGTCGCAAATTTAAAAAAGAGAAAAATAAAGTTTAAAGTGGTGTCAAAATTTTAAACAGAATTGATTTTTCATAAAGAAAGAATTTTAACGTGGTTGTAGTAAAGGACACTAGAAAATGGCATTATCTTATGATTACACACAAATAATTATAATTGTTAACAAATATTTTATATAAATAACATAACATAAATCATAAAAAAATCAAGTCATTCTAAAATAAATAAAATATATAAAAATAAATAATTCTTAAGGTACCTAGGTAAATAAAAAAATTTAAAAAAAATTAGTTTATTAATAAATTTTCCTCGAAATTTTCAAGAAATTCAGTCGATTTTGCATCGTCATTAATATAAGTCTGCAAAGTGCCAAAATCCCTTAGGATTTTCCATAACACAGATTATAAAAGAATAAATAAATAATGGGATTTGACAATTGCCCGGCTATTTTTTCAGTTTTTGACATTTGACGGATGACGTACGGATGCGTCGTTGCCAAGTTGGCCATGCCAACGTAACAAATTTTAATTTGAAATTTTTTCAACTAGAAATTATTTTGTTTTGTTTAAAAACAAATTTCATTATCAATGTTAAAATGTCTCCAAAAATGTCGCCAACACAATGTGAAAAACGCTAGGTTTGAGACACGTCGCAAATCATAAAAAAATGTCTCAAATGGTTACCTCAAAACGCTAGATCTAGCGACAAAGTCGCTTAGTTGGCAACGCTGGTACAATTGCACAAAGAAGTTAAATATCAACTAAAATAATTTATAAGTTTGCTTAAAAACAAAGCGAAATCCTGATAAATCAAAAGAAACCGCACATTCCGGCGCGTGCCATTGATCCTTTGTCGGCTCTATTATAAAGAAAGCCGCTTTTTTATTTAAAAATGGGAAATAATAGTACGATAACTTTTTGCCGCCTTTCGATTTTTGACGCCCTTCGAATTTTGCCACTATTCGATTTGTGCACCTCTTTAATTTTTGCCGCCCTTCGATTTTTGCCGCCCCGTTCAGGGGCACGGCTGCACGTACCCTGGAGCCGGCCCTGCCGCTAAAGGTGTTAACAGGTTTTATATATTCAGGTATATATATTTTTAGCTTAGTTTTACTGATATTTAAAGGTACTGAAATCAAAAATAAAAAGTTATGAATAGTTATTTTTCCATTCTACCTTTATGTTAGACGTCTCCAGTTATAACATGCCAGTCCAAACAACCAGTTTACATTTTATGTACGTACATAGTAAGTCGACCTTCGACGTACCTTACATTTTACGTACGTACTGCGATATCTTATGTACATCCTAAGTACGTACTAAGTACGTCCAAATTCCACTCGATAATACGTTTTATGTATGTACATTTACCAAGTATTAAGAACGTAGTTTGTACATAAATAAATCGTACTTTTATTCCGTACACAGAAAAAAGCTTTAGTTAGCCCAATTATTATTTGTTTGATTTAACTAAATACATTTGGCTGATTTGACTAAATAAAAAAAAAACATTTTTTTAAACCATTTTTTTATATTTTTCAAGAAACTTGAAATTCCTTGACGCATTACTAGTATACTACCAGTGGTATTATTCCAGAATATTGAACCTTCAGCTCTCTAGAGGAAATGTTTTTAGTGCGTTCACCTACTTGAAATTCTTCAAGAATTGACAGCTGTTTCCACCTATTTAAGGTCTCTTTAGTATCAAACAACTTGTATTGTCACACCAAAGTAAAGGACTATATGAGCCTATATACTCTTCATGTAAGTCAACAGAGGCGAGATTTAAGAACATCACGTGATCCACACCGCCTTTGCCGCGATGGGTACACATTATGCAACCAGGAATACTTTAGAAGTATTTTGTACATACCTTCTTTGTACATACTATGTACGTACTGAGGACGACTGAACCTTACATTTTATGTACATAATATATAGTACGTAGTTAATACATATTTTTTTGGTCTTAAGACGTAAGTACGTAAATATAACCAAAAATGTACATTTTTAAAACGTACTGTGTTGTTTAGGAGAGGAATGATATTTTAACAAGATTTTTTTCTATTACTTAATAATATTAAGTATATTTTCATAAATTCTTTAGGAAGCCAATATAGTTAATCTATATCTTTCTTTAAAAAAAAATATTTATAGAAAATAATTTGTTTAGTCAAAATTTTGACCAGTATAAGCAAAAATGATAGTTTCTAACTAACATATGTTATCCTGTAGAGTTTGTTTCTTAATTTTTTTATATTGTGGCAAATTTTAAATGTCTTTTTTCCCTTTCGATGTCTTCGGCATCACTGCATTTTTAAACATTTTCCTAAATGCCTAAAAAGGTATTATTGCTACCTGTAAAAGAATAGATAAAAGAGCATTGCCTTTTAGAAACAGGTCTAGTATTCCTATAACTATAATATAAGTATTATAATTATAATATAATTAATTAATCTTTAACAAACACTTAAATATAATTTCCACCAACTTCAACAAAATTTCTTTGTTTTTTTCCAGAGGCTTTAAGACGTAATTTTCGTTTTTCATACCTAATGCAAATTTACTTATACCAGAACACATTGCAAACTGCAAACATAACCCAATTGTGTATGTTTTATTTTGCCGCAATCCTCTTCAAACCAAGTTTTTGTCAATAATAAAGTTTAGTCATTTTAAAAATGTATCACTCTTATAATGCAAAAAACACATATTTAAGTATACCCAGGGCCGGGCCTAAGGGGGGTGTAGGGGGGGGAGTCACCCCCCCCCCCCAAAGTCTTGGCAGTTGGTTCCAAATCCAAACACGGTTGGCAAAATCTATAGTATTTGGTTCGGTTGGTTGGGTATACCTACCCTACCAACCATCCCATCATCAAAATGAAATATAATTTTTAAACTATACCTACATATTACAAAATTATAATTTTTAATCTATTGTAACCTCCTATAATCGTTACCGTGAAGAAAATTGTATGAGTCAACCATATTTTTATTAAAGGACAATATATTTCATACAAGCGGCATGTGCAAAGTCGGCACCGCCTCTTTGGCTTTGGCGGCGTTTGACTCTTTTTACGCACTGCAATTTTCGGCGTCTTATTTTTCTAGATTATTATTTAGTTAAAGCTTATCTAAGCTAAGTAAAACTAGTGTCAATAAATAGGAATTAATTTTTTTTTAATATGAAAAGAAAGCTAGACCGAGCCGAGTTCTAGTAAAATTCTCATTATGTGGATCTGTGTTTTGTTGGTTAATGGGATAAAAATAACAACACAATAATTAGTTTTAATGCAATATTTATTCTAAGTGAAAATCACTCAGAAGGTACCGTCTATACATCTCTATTTCGACTAACTTAACTTATTTAAAACGAAAGAGTAGCTTTAACAATAAACCCTTATTCAGCGTTTTTAATCACTTGCCTTCTCATGATTTTGTTTATGAAACTTAATATATATCGGGGCCTTGGACTAATTTATCTGAACAGTGAAAACTAGATTGATTTTTGTTTATATTCCAACACGCCCCCTCAAAAATTAATCCAAAAGAACTTAAATACATAATTAATGAGAATAATACATTTCATCCCTAAATACTATTATCTAACTAAATAGGTACCTTCTTTGTGCACCCTGGGAGATAGTTACAATATGGTCCAGCATTTGCTGCAAGGATTAGGAAAACCCAGGAAAACCCAATCAGACCACTTATCTTACTCTAAGCCTATTTTAACCATAATGCTTCTTTAACAGCTTCGAATAAAGCCATATATTCAGCCTCTGTTGATGAGACAGCGACTGAATTCTGCCTTTTTGTATTCCAACAAATAGTACAATTTTCAAATAGTTGAAATAAATAACCTGTTGTACTTTTTCTATCGGTATTTTCACTACCACCCCAATCTGAATCAACAAAACCTACTAAAAATTCATTATATACCCGTCGTGTGTAGTTTAATTTAATATCTATTGAACCTTTTAAATATCTTAATACTCTTTTAATGCATTTCCAAAGTTCATTATTGCATTTATTCATAAATCTACTTAAGATGTTTACAGCTACACTTAAATCGGGTCTTGTACATATCATTAAATACATTAGACATCCGATAGCGTTTCGACAAGGGGCATCATATGTTTCATCAGAATTTAATGCTATGTAGTCTAACTTACTTTCAAGGGGACTATTGACAGGTTTACAATCGTTCATGTTAAACTTATTTAAAATTGTTTTTATATATGCACTTTGGTCTAAACACATTTGATTATTATCTTGTGAAATTCTAATTCCTAGAAATAATTTAATATTTTTTAAATCTACCATTAAAAACTTATTTATTAAATAATATTTAAAACAATTCATTGTTTCACTATTTGCTGTAACTATTACAATATCGTCAACATATAATATTACATAAATATTTTTTAAAATATCCCCTCTATCTAAAATATAAAGGCATCGGTCTACCGGTGAGTTTTTAAAACCTTTTTGTTTAAGAGCTTTTTCAAACTCTTCAAACCAACACCTTGCTGCCTGTTTTAATCCGTACAAGGCTTTATTTAACTTACAGACCTGATTATTATTACTTTTGATTCCTTCAGGAACCTTCATGTAAATTTCTTCCTTTAATTTACCATTTAAAAATGCGGTTTTTACATCCATGTGATGTACTAGTAAACAATGTTGATTTGCAAAAGCTAGTACAAATCTAAAACTTGATATTCGAGCTACAGGGGCGAAAGTTTCATTATAATCTATATGATATTTTTGACTAAAACCTTTTGCTACAAGACGAGCTTTGTATTTTATTGGGTTTCCAAATTCATTATTCTTAAGAGAAAATACCCATTTACAGTCAACTATATTCTTATTTTCAGGCTTTTGTACTAAAGTCCATGTATTGTTAATTAATAGAGAATTAATTTCATCACTTATGGCACGCTCCCATTCTATTCTATCATCCCTATTCCTAATTTCTTGATAAGAAGTTGGGATACTACAGATAATTGATTGAGCACACAAAAGATAGTCAGGTATACCATCTTCGTTATAAGAAATAGAAGGTAATTGCTTAATTCTCTCACTTTTTCTTAGATCAGAGGCAGTACGCTTTAAACCTTGTTTGTCTTGAGATAAACATTCATTTGTATCGGAGTCATTCGTATTTACTACTGATTTTGACGTTAGGTCAGAAACATCAGTTTGGGCCCCAGATTTCTTTATATCTGGTTTTGCACTGTCAGAGTTATGAGACTTTACCACTGATTTTGACATGTCAGAAAGATCAGTTTTATCTTGAGGTTTTTGCAAATTAACCCCTTTACACACAGGCCTTGATATTAAATAATTAGTCTCATCCACTATAACGTCTCTGACTACAACAAACTTTTGAGATTCCACTTCCCACACTTTATACCCATTTGGTTCGTACCCTAGTAATATACCTTTCCAACTTTTTTCTTGAAATTTTGTTTTACTGACTTTATTATGTACATAAACAGTAGAACCAAAAACTTTAAGATATTTTATGTGTGGCCTTTTATTGTGCCATAGTTCATATGGTGTTTTAAATTGTTTCAGAGCCCTAGTAGGTGTAATATTAATTAGATAAGTAGCAGTTAATACTGCCTCACCCCAAAAAACTTTTTCTAAATTTGCACCGTTTATCATTGTACGAGCTTTTTCTGTTATTGTTCTAACCATACGCTCTGACACACCATTCAACTGTGGAGTTCGTGGAATAGTTAAATGATAACTAATGCCCTTCTCCATACAATAATGTTTCATCTCAGAGGACAAATATTCTCCCCCATTATCACAGTACAAATTAACAATTTTTAAATTAAAATGACCCTCACTTTTTGCAACATAATCTTTAAAACACGAAAAGGTATCCGATTTATTTTTAATTAAATATGTTACACAATAATGAGTAAACTGATCAACAAACAAAACAAAGTAATTTTTCTCATTAACCGTTGAAGGCGTTATAGGTCCACAAACATCTGAATGTACTATAAATAACGGCCTCTTTACATAATTTTTATCTTTATGTTTATTAAAGGGTAACCGAGTTTGTTTTCCTTTTATACATGCATCACATAAATTATCAGAAACTGTAATATGATCTATAAGACCCTCGTCCTCGATCATTTTTTTATTTTTTAATTCTATGAATTTATTTTTACCAATATGCCCTAATCTTTGATGCCATATTTCATAGTTTACTTGTACTGTACTAAATGTATGCGAAATATTGTTTATCGACTCAATATTTATCTTAAATTCTAAAGAAATTATATTGTTTGATGGCTTACCTTTCATTACCATCTTACCGTCTTTAGCAATTTCAACCCCTCTTTCATTAAAGAGTATTGTCATACCAGCATTTTGCATTTTCGTTACAGATAGCAGATTGTAAGGAACTTCAGGGCAGTAGAGGACATCTTCTAGAATTCCTTGAATTCCCAAATTGCTGGTAACTTCCAAAGAGCCCTTTTTAGTTGCACTTATAAATTGCCCATTTTTCGCCACAGAAATCTTCACTGGTGATAACAGGGTAGAAAAATGTCCACTTAGATCTGATCTATTAATTATATGGTCCGAGGCACCAGAATCCAAAATAAATGTAATTTTATTCATTGGATCTATATTATGCTGTTGAGTCCCAACCATAAATGCAAATCCTGGATTGTCTTCTTCATTACAATTTATCTTCACAGTTTGCACAGTTCTTTGCCTTTGTGGGGTTTTATATTCCTGCCCTTTCTTATTATAAAAGCAGTCTCTTTTAAAATGACCCTTTCTTCCACAATGATGGCACTTTAGGCCGCTTGCCTTTCTGGTACCTTTAAATTTATTCTGTTGATGAAATTTTGGGAACTGATTGTGACGTTTTGGAATGTTAGACATTTTAAAACGGTTTTCTTCGGGTGTATCACTCTTCTTGTCTATGAGGAGAACTTTTCTGCTTGTATCACGGTTTTCGTTTGATAATTTGACCTCATGATCAAGTAATCGAGTTTTTACGAACGCCAAGCTCAGGCTGTCTTCAGATAGTGTTTCAATTGCTGTTATTACACCATCGTAGGAATTCGGGAGAGTCAGCAGCAAATGTGAAACTTTGTCAGTTTCTTCCAATTTGGCTCCTGCTGCTAATAACTCACCAACTAGATCATCAAACATTGTAAAATGTTGTATTAATGACGTATCACCTTGTAGTTTCAAACTCAATAGTTTTTTTCTAAGTGCCAACTGAGTAGCTAAACTTTTGCGCTCATAAATAGTGTCCAAATTTTGCAAAATCTCTTTAGTTGTGCTGTCTTCTTTCGCAAATCCAAGAAATGAGTCCGCCAAATACTCAACCAGCATACTTTTTGCGATTCGTTCCGATTTAATCCATTCGTCGGTTAGAGGATCGGGAGTTTCACTATCTATAACTTTTATTACGTCAAGTTCGGATAAGATAGCTCTTATTCTAAATTTCTACACACTGTATTTTTCACCATCAAATGGTTTAATGTTTCTTTTTGCACTTTTGTGTTCCATTGTCTTTAACTTAAATCACTATAATACCAAACCACTAATAACTGTTTTTATTAAACTATTAAAAAGTCCCGCGCAATTTATTTATGCCACTGCGATACCTGGGCCCATAACCTGTTGGTTAATGGGATAAAAATAACAACACAATAATTAGTTTTAATGCAATATTTATTCTAAGTGAAAATCACTCAGAAGGTACCGTCTATACATCTCTATTTCGACTAACTTAACTTATTTAAAACGAAAGAGTAGCTTTAACAATAAACCCTTATTCAGCGTTTTTAATCACTTGCCTTCTCATGATTTTGTTTATGAAACTTAATATATATCGGGGCCTTGGACTAATTTATCTGAACAGTGAAAACTAGATTGATTTTTGTTTATATTCCAACATGTTTAACAAGGACTAAAAAAATGCATGAGAAAAATATTCACGGTGGAAATTTGGTTAAAATTAAAATTGTTGCTGTTCCGGATAATCCACTTACATTGGCAGCAAGTCAAAAAAAATAGAGAACGAGAATCAATCCCTTCGACTTCGAAAGAGCATGCTAAATTAGCATTGCTAATGGTAGGTAAAGACATTCTTTATCTACACTTTACAGCACTTTACATACATGATAAAACTACTGAAAATTTTTACTATTACTACTAAAGTATCGATAAAAAAATAAGTTGGTTTTTTTATCGCCTCCACCCCCCCAAAAAAGTGAGCCTTGGTACGGCCCTGAGTATACCTAATACATTTTTAAAATGTATTATTAAATATGCACATAAATACATTTATTACCGACTAAACTAAATAAATTTATTACTGACTAAACATATTATGTAAGATACAAATCTTTAATGTAAATTTGCTATGTTGCCAAATTGGTTCAAACTTAAATCAGTGGATATGCGTAAACGGTTGGACGTGTTTTTTTGCATAAAGTTGGGTTAAAGGTCGAAGAAATAGATTTATAGATAAATAAAGATGGTTTATAAGCTAAATAGTAGCATAACTACAACTATAGTAAATTTATTTTACCAACTCACCTGAATTTTTATTCACATAGCGCGTGATGGTACGCTATTGGTCGATCGACGCTAAATCTTTAATCACAGATTAACCAATAGCATGTATGTTGTCTACGTGCTCTTCGCGTGTAGTGGTGATTTGGTAAAATGAATGTGCTATAATTATGTAATCGGGTCTACAGCCTAGTATTTATTAAAACCGTTGATATACGTAATTTACGTAATTTTAATCGTTGCTTTAATTTATATTTTATTAAATTCCCGGTCAAAATTCGTGATATTCATACGAACATCACGTCGTGATTTTTACAAATTTTATTCATACTGATATCATACGGAAGTCACCGCGTGATAAATGAAAATCATACGAACGTCACGTCGTGATTTTCACAAATTTTATTCATACGGACATCATCCGGATGTCACTGCGTGAGAAATAAAAATCGAGAATTGAGAGATAAAGTATACCTACATAAATATTGAATCAATAGTTTTTGTGGTTAAATACATTCAATATTTTTATGGATTTAAATTAATAGTTAATTTACATCCAAGAAAATATTAAATGTATTTAACCGCAAAAACTGTTAATTCAATTGTTAACATACATTTTCTCACAATGTACGAATGTGGCGCAAAAATAAATATCCAAAGATGTCGGTGCACCGATGGCATAAAAAATCATGTCATTTAGGTTTTAAATTCGCAGTTCGCAGGTGTCATACGCATGCGCAAACTTTGCAAATATCACACCGTGAGTTCTACATGATATCACTGTAATGAAGCATGTGTAATACACATTGTGTATGCACTCAGGATATCACAGCGTGATAAAAAATCACGTTGTGATATCATCATGACTTCACCAGGAAATCCCGATTGTTGTCCGGGTTTCACTCACAATTAGTAATTTAAGGTACCAAGTAAGTTAAAAAAGTTTAATTAAGAATGTTTATTTTTGTCTAAAAATGACATTATTGTAACAGTTTTGATATGACACTATGTTATTTAAACTAATATTAATTAAACTTTTGCCTCAGGATTTCTAGAAATGGAACCCATTCTTTTAAAATTACTGTTTACAATAAACAATCCTGTAACTGTAAGACCTGGAATAAAAATAAATAATTGGGAGTAAACGTGACGGCGAGAGGGTCATACATACCTGTTGAAAAGGCGTATGCAAAAAACAATACAATGTTTAATAATACCAGGGTATATGCAGCCAATATACAACCTAATACTGCAGATAAACCATTTAGTATTAGCCAGGGTAGCAAACAGTAGCGAGTATTCTAAAAACATAGTCATTATTAGAGCGATTACAAAAAAGATGGTCACCTAAATCATTCGAGGGAATTTGACCCAAAATTGAGGCTGAAATTTCCTCGAACGGAGGTGACATGTTTAAATACGGTAAATACTTACACTTTTTAGGCCAAGTAAAATAAACGAACTAAATACAATTTGAATAGCACATCCAACAATATTGAGTATTGCCACTGAAAGTAAAATATATAAATTGTAAAGTTTAGATTAAAAAAAAATTATACCTGTACTAAGTGCCTCGTCAAATTGTGGATTTTGAACATCTACAAGTAAAATTTATAAATTGTATACTTAGGTAGTTTGAAATAAAAAAAAAGTGGGTACCTGAAGTTTTGCTTGAAATTTCTAATTGATTAAACTGTATGATATTGTATACTGAATAAAGGATGGAAAAAATTATGTATAACCATGCTACAACTTTGGCTGATGTGGGTGAACGTCTACAACAAAATAAAAAAGTAATTAAATATACACTGGAGGTATTTTCTGCTCGACGTCATAAGAAGCTATTATTTGCAAAACTTTCTATTTGATTGGACATTTTGTTGGATAATCTTTCAAATCAAACAAAGTCGTTCAAAGCAAATATATTGTGTTTGATGTCCATAACATATTGATGGAAATTGTTCTCATGTTCAAGCAGAGCAGGTTAACCAAAGGAAATATTGAATTGTAAAAGAACTAAAAACTAAGTTAACTTCGGAATTAGCAACACGTAGCAGCTAAGGTTGTGGTCAGTGTTGCCATCTTGGAGATTTTTTCACCATTTCTGGTGATTTTTTGTTCTTGGTTGAGAGTTTTCAAGTTAGATAACGACAAGTCTCAAACCTGGAGAATTTAAAGATACATCGGAGAGTTTTTTGCGAATTTTTAATAATTAAAATACAGAATAAAAAATATTGAAAGTTTTGGTTGGGTGCATTGTACTAGTGATTTTTTAATTAAGTTGGTTACCCTGCAAGAATTTATAGGTCGGACCTTTGCATAAAAAGCTTCATCCACATATTTAAAAAATATGTGACTCCATCATCCATTAAAGTTATCATCATCAGAACAGAACATGTTCTCATGCATGAGAACAGAAGACATTATTATTGTAATCACAGAACATAAAGTGTAATATGTATTACATATCATGTTTAAGATACAGCGGTATATTAGTACTATCTAAATCCTTCTACAGTTTATCCTAAAATGTGCCCGTCAAACTTTGTATATAGAAAAATAGACTTATTTTGATCTGTACTTACATGCCGTTAGCAAAGTTTGGCCAGCTACTTTTGGGACATCCTGTATAGCTTTCAAAATATTTTTTTTGATATTTCCATGTTAAACGAAAATGTTTATTATACAGTGTGTCGCACTTAAGATGAAGACACCCCCATATTTTCGCTATTTGAAGGAATAAAGGTTTGAATTTTTTCACATTCATACATGTTGATGGGTCACATTTTTTAAGCTACTCAACTAAAATTTGAACTTTAAACTTGGCCTACTACAAATTCACAAGCAGGGCCAGTTCTCGATATTTTGCTTCGCGTTAGAGATATCGAAAAAAGTTATTGGAAAAAGTTGTTCAGAATATTATTTTAACCCCATATACCAATTTTTATAACAAAATTCGCATTTTTAATTTTTTTTATTTTGGTCCACACAAAATTATTACAAGTTCATTTTTTAGTTTGATAATAAGGGAGCCATGGAAAGTAATAATTTGATACTAACTAGTGTTTATGACCGTTAAATAAATAATTAAAACAATTTTTGGAAATTACAAATCAATTATAATTTATTAAATTAAGGAAATGGTATAAAACAATAATAAAACTAATAAAAATAAATAAATTAGAAATGCGAATTTTGCTATGAAAATCGGTACACGAGGTTAGAATAATATTCTGGACAACTTTTTCTAATAATTTTTTTCGATATTTCTAACGCGAAGCAAAATATCGACAACTGGCCCCGTTTGTAAATTCGTAGTAGGCCAAGTTTAAAGTTCAGATTTCAGTTGAGTATCTTAAAAAATGTGACCCACCAACATGTATGAATGTGAAAAAATTCAAATCTCTATTCCTTGAAATAGCGAAAATATGGGGGTGTCTTTATCTTAAATGCGACACACTGTATAAAAAGGCATTAAAGCCTCAAATTACAAAGTTGTTTTTTTTATTTATTTTTAACTAAACTGTTTTATATTTTTTGCATTTTGTGTCCATACAAACCTCTTTGTTTTTGTCTATTAAAAGTATTGGAGATTTTTTTGGCAAAATTGGAGAATTCTGGTGAATTTTTGTTTAGGTTTTTGAGAATTTTAACATTTTACTGTTGGAAACACTGGTTGTGGTAAATGTTGCTGAGGTCCAATGGTCTTACTAATATGTCTGTATTACCACTAATTGTACACTGAGAAAAATCGTCCTATTAAACAGAGTTCCTAACAAAATTTTAATTAATTTAAAACAAATTTTAATAACACCAAATAAAACGTTTTCTTATTCTAGATAAAACATAATTCCTGAAACATGTTTTTTATTTTTATTAAACTGAACATTTGAAATGAAATATGTTGTTAATTATTATTATTCAACCTAATACCTGAAATTTAAGTAACTAGAACCTATTAATAAAATCATTAAAATTAAGATGTTTGTTTAATAAAAATATGGATTAATACAAAGAAAAAACTCTATCGTACAGTCAATAGCAGTCTTATTTTTGGGTGCGTTCACTTTGTTTCAAGCACAGGAATGTTCTTGTTAATTAAAAATAATTGCCGAAAATTTAAATCTAAAATTGTCTTAAATATAAAGTTATTATTGGCTTTTTAATATAACTAAGTTTTTTTTGAAATAAAACGTTTAGTTTATTCAATAAAAAGACAATCATTGAAAACTAATAAAATATTATTATGTTTTCAACCAAAAGAATATTTTAATGAATATTACACTTTGTTTAAATAATAAATATACTTATTGTTGCTTCCAATTTTCTATTTTAAAAAGTAGTATATTTTAGACAAATAATCATATTATTCCGTTAAAATATAATGTATCAATACAATCAACAACTTTTTTCTAACCATCAGAAGAATCATTGACTCAACACTAATGTATATTATAACCAAACAATATATTATTAGCCGAATATTAAAGGGTTTAAATAAACTGTATATTATATAAATCCAATGAAAGTTATTGTTGACCCAAACGTATTGTTTTTATAACACACGCAAAATTAGGGAGGGGAGCATAACGAAGACGCCGTTCTTCAGCCATTAGTGTCAAACGCGTGTTGTTTAACAATCGTTTTGTGCTTTAAGTATTTCTTTATAATGGAATATGTGCTGAAAAGTTAGGGTTTGGAAGATCTCATTCCCGTGTTTAATGGTAAGTACATTTATTGATTATTTTATTGAGTAGGTACCCACCTATAATTGTTTGCATGTAAGATTTAAGTTTAGGTGGGTCCGAATACTGGCGATTGTGGCGTAGTAAAATAAAACGAGAAACCCTTAGATTTTCCGTTTATAACTACTTTAACTTTATTGCATGCCGTTTAATTAAACCTTTTTTATGGAGAAAACCAGATAGGTATGTAGACCAAATGCCCAAAGAAATTACTTATTTGCCACCATACACTTTGGACTTCCATTAAATGCGGTGAGGAGATCTATTAAACAATCCGTAGTTTATTAAAATCCAAATTGTTTATAAACGTTCTTAAAATACACTTTAAATAAAGTAATATTTAAATCTAGGGAAAGCAGGGAACTAAGCATTTTAAGGTTGGTAGACGTCATGACGTAGGATGCCGAGCGCTTTGCCGAGCCTTGGCGTAGATTGCCGAGAAAAATAGGAAAGGGGAAGATAAATGCAATGGAGAACGAGGGCGTTTTCCTAAAAAAGTGTTTGAAAAGTGAGATTTATAGAATTTATTTTTTGTTGTAAACTAAAAATAAAAAAGTTTAATAGAAGTATTGTTTTATTTCCGACCTTTCTCTTCAGTTTATTTAATCATATTGCTACTATTCAATTGAAGAAAATTGCATTTGCCTCATTAAAAGCTTTTTTTAAACTTTAATTCAATTATAAATAGCTATAGGTATATTAATTTATATAGCTATTTATAATTGAACTTAAATTTAATAAAAAGCTTTTAATGAAGCAAATACTATTTTCTTTAATTGACTAATAATAGCAATATAATTAAATAAAATTTAGAGAAAGGTCAAATCAAAAATAGTTTCAATAATCAAGAATATATAATATAATTATATGTATATAAATATACAGTTGATTGAAATAATTCTTAAAATTTAATTAATTACATAAATTAATCGATTTAATCTTTTCCTTAGTTTAAATATAGCTACTATTTATTTTATAAATGAATTTGTTGTAGAATAATTATAATATAATAACAGTAATATTTATTAATATTTCAATAAAGATAAGTTAATTTTCATGCAAGGAAACTAATGTTTAAACCAATAACAGACTATTGTTGGCATCCAATCATAACAAAAATTAAATGCTTTAACAAGTTTTCAATAATTGCCTATTGTTAAAATAATCAGAAAGTATATTCCTTTTTCAAAGACATAACTATTATTGAGTAAAATTTAACTATGTTCTAGGAATACGGAATAGAGTGTATCATTGAATAAAAGTTATTATGTTTGATGATACGATAGATTTTTTTCTGTGTAGATTTAAATAATGTGTTTAATAGGTTTAAGTACCAGGTTATTAAAATTTAGTGGACCGAAAACATCCAAACCTTTTTCCGATTTTTGACCACAAACTCGGTCTTTTATTCGCTACTTCTACATATTTCGATATCGCGGCGCACAACTTGCGTTTGAGTTTATCTGATTTGCCTTCCTTGCATAGACTAGTCCAACTTGATTAGAAAGAGTGCATATAATAGTTAATATTATAATAATAATAAATGTATTCCATGAAATTTGTGTATTTTTATGGTGGGTGAAGTTTAAATATGTTTTAAAAATTGCTGGAAGATTGAGGGTTGGAAGAGTTTAAGGAAATATTTATTCGTAAGTAAGTTGTTAAT